ATGACTCTTAGATGGCTGATGAAGAAGATTACAACAGCCAGCAGGTTATTATTAACTAAGTCCTATTTTAATCTTCCTTTGACCTACATTCGGGCTCTCAACCAAGGACAAGTGTATTACATTACAACTCCTTATCCCGCAATGCAAGTTCTTACTTTCTGTCTTACACCACTCTAGTTGTCCATGTTTTCCATTTGAATATGAAAATAAGAAACATTTCTGTAAATGTTAGAGCGGTCCTTACAGATTGGTCCCTCAGACTCCTCCAGGGGCCTCTGGTCCATGATGTGTCGGAACATGGGCAGCAGGAAGGCTATGGTTTTCCCGCTGCCAGTCTTAGCGATGCCAATGAGGTCTCTGCCCGTCATGATGGCAGGGATTGCCTGGGATTGGATGGGGGTGGGCTTCTCGTAGCCGTGCCTGGGTACATTTGGGAGGAAGAAATGAACACAAATATGATGGTTTAAGGTCAGAGAGAATCAAATGTCATGTACAATCTGAATATGACCAAAGGAAGGGAAATGCTATTAGTTTTACATACATATCAAAAGGGTAAGACTAAATGGGATATGAGTGGTTATACTTTTTAAAAAGGTCATTTTCTTAACAGTGTTTTAACAGAGACATGCCGGCGTCTTCATATCCAGCTGAATTTGAACAAATGTATTTAATACTTTAAAAATGGGAGCTGCTCTGAATCTAAATCAGTGATCGAGCCATTTACACACAAGATGACTGCCTAACTGTCTTTTCATAAAACTGATCATCATCTTTTTTAAACTCCATTGGAAAGATCATTATTAAATTACTATATTGCCCTCAAAAGCCTTCCTAGTCCATCATACTGATAGTCAAGATCAGTCAGACTCACTTTTTCAGAGCACCGAGGATCTTCATAGACACCCCACACTGCACCCAGGTCTTGATGGGTTTGGGACAGCCTTTCCCTTTAACGATAATCCCTTCCAGTTCCAGCCTGTACGCATTCACATCTGTTAAAACCAGCCAAACAGAGAGATGTTAGATGGGTTAGTGAAAGATATTTGGAAGACTAAAAGGTAGTAATATAAGTTTTTAAGAAATAGATGTGGTGATAAACATACAGGGAATAACATACAAATTTAAATCTCATGTGTTCAGATTACTGACCTTCCTGCGTCATCCTCGCAAGTTCAGGGACCTCCACATAGAAGTTTTTGCGGTACGGCTCGTACTGGATCTTCCCGTGGTCAACAGGCTCTAGGATCTTCCTCTGTTTGGTCTGGAAGCCCGTCAGAGCCGTCTGCAGATCCACCTCCTCCTCCTCTGATGAGTACTGTCAAACACACGTCACATTTTGGATAGTTAGCTGTGTGTTCCATCGGGAGAAACATTTTTTTGCCCAACTTCAGTCCAAATTAGGATCTGTATTTCATTAATAAAACAATACGAAAACTCAAATATTTTTCTGAAGGGTACTTGAGGGGAAATTTTGCAGTTCTGGCTGATGAAAGACAATCTGATTTTGTTCATACAGCAGCTGTTATTGTAGACTCTTCATATAAAGCAGGTCTAGACCATACTCTTTATAATATGTAGTATATATATAATATATGACTGCTAGTGTTTTAAATGTATACGTGCATGTAACATGTAACACTGCAAATATGTGACATACATTTTTACACTATGAATGATTGTTTACATAATGTTGAACTGAAGGCTAACATGAAAGCTTTATCATTATTGACACATTATTTCTATGATTCAAGCTAAATATTTTTTTCAAAAAAAGAAACATTTCAACACTTAATCAAATTTAGCAGTAAGATGCTTTGTGCATTTATGAATACTAAGTCACTAAGCATAATTAATTCTTCACTGCAGCACAGGAATGTGCTCCTGAAAGAAGAGCAACAGAGCTGAAGGCTATAATGAAGCGGGGATATTCAGGACTTTGAGAGGTTACGACAAGCTAACATTTACCCAAGCGAGTTTCACTGTGGCTTGAACGTCTGTCTGGGACAGCTTATGTCACCAAGAATAACAATCAGGAGACACGTGTTTCTCTGGCCCAGTGAGAATTGTGATCCTAGCACTGCTTTTGCAATAGAAGATAATTACGACGGACTTGACCACAGAATTGGCTGTTTATAAACTGCCTATTGATTATCAGTCCTCGTTCAGCCTTTTACTAGTCTACATTGACAAAGATGAATGATTCTTAAATTGAGATGAAATCTAATCATCGGTTAGCTGTTTTAACCAGAAAAAACTATTGTTTCCACTTGAGTTTGATCAGCAGAGCCTGCAGTAGAGAGACACACAACAGACAAGGGGGGGTTACCAAAGGCAGAAAAGCAGAGAAGCGACTCATGAATTGACCGCGCAGCTAATCCTTGGGTTCCCTTGGGGCTGAGCTTGAGTACCTCTGTCTTGCCGTTCAAGGGGGAAACACTAACTGCTGTGTCAAACCGAGCTTTGAATTCTGCATTAATTGATATTGAATTTTCAGACTCTCTGCTGTTTTCATCCCAGCAGCATTACTTATCGAGCTGAGCTCTCCGCCGTGTCAACACCAGACACCATGTTTATAATCTTTGTACTACAAGCTGGTGACATTTTTTTTTAAAAAGATGTCTACATTGTCAAAGTGGAAGCACGGACCGATGTGATCTGCCTTCAAGAGCTGGAAGGAATATTGTAATTGTGACGACAGAGAACGTGCAGCTCAACTAAGCAATAAAATAAGTCACGTTTTCTTGATTTTAGTCAGAGATACTTACTTGATAGGAACTGATCATTCAGAGTAAATGGATACAGACACATTGTTTATGTCTGGAGGGAAAAAGGAGGTTTCATTAGCACCAATTAAAAAAAGTGCTTCTTTTCACAACTTATTTAAAAAATATTCCTACTTCTTTTAACCTGCGAATGCAGCACATAGTGACTTTTAACTTGTAAAATGCAAACGTCAGTGAAAATAGGTATTGCATTGGCATCCATTTACTTTTCATCCATTTAGGTGATCACTTTAAAGCAGCAATTTAGTTTAGTTCTTAATTATTTATGTGCTGTACATGTTTAACTAACCATTTTGAAACTTATTAAGTCCAATTTAATGTTTCTGAGAAATCACATGGATTCATCATCTTGACAAAGGCTTTCAGTTCTGAGGCCATATTTTCATCAATTTTTATGCAACAGGAGTCAGTGGCTGAACGTGACAGTGAAGGATCATTCTCCTCAGTTTGAGGATTCATCTCCTCCTCGACACACACAGCGGATTATCAAATCTATTACCACTGGCAGCACTTTCAGTGTCTCTGTCTGCACCTAATGCGAGTGTAATATCTGCTGTCAGAGTGCCATTCTGGATCATCTCAAATGTGCTTTCAGCGAGAAGGAGAAGAATTTATTTGTTTGCGGGAATAGTAGGTTACATGCTACTATGTCTGGCTGAATAGATTTACTTTCTTCAGACATGACTTTGCTGCATGTTGCCAACTTTATCTATAGTTTAGATGAAATGGGTTCATAAGTGACATGATAAGACCGTCCTTGGTTGGCTGTCTTTCAAAATGTCTTTTAAAAGCTCTGAAGCCCAGTGAAAGCTGGGACGTCTTATTGATTTTTACTGCTTAAAACCAGTTGAGCCATGAGAGGGATTTGTGGAAGTGGAGGACGAGATGCATTAAAGGACTTTTAGACCTTGAGACAAGAGAGACAGATTGAGGAAAGTAAAGTGAAACTCAGTATTAAAGTGTATTACAAAGTATGTGGACATCTGTTTGAGCTTAAGAGCTGCTGTGTGGGATGTATTTGGGACAAATATTTCCCTTGTTGCACATTTGGACTTTAAGGTTCAAAAGCACATCTTGGAGACCCAAAGTCAACACCATATTTTCTGGAAAAAAAGGTTTGCTTTTTTTCAGCAAATACATATCAAATCAAAGTAATATTTTTTGTTCTATGTTAAGGGGTCATTTTTTCAGAAAGTGATTATTTTGAGCTGTTTGTAATGTAATTATAGTTGGAAGAAATAAGGCCTGAAAATCAGAGATGACAATGAAACGACTGACAGCTCATCGTGTTAGACACTGAGAGCTCCTTAACAGCTGTTATTGTACGCGTGCAAAAAAGAAAGTCTTTAAAATGGTGAAATACTGCCTTGGTGCTGAGAGAATCAGCTAATTTATCAATATATCAACATAACATTTGTAGATGGCTATCTTGATTATAATCAGTGAGTCATTCCTGTTATCTATAAAGCAAAAAAAAACATCTCTTGGTCACAACTGCTCAAATGTGGTCGTTTGCTGATTTTTTAAACTCTAATATCACAATAAAATCAGTTTTTATTAAGTTTTGAAAGATTTTTGATTTTGAGAAATATAATTTAAACTGCTTTGATTATGAGAGAAAAGTTGTGATATGATTATGATGATGGAATTAGTTATTAGTTGATGCTCTAATTGGTTTTCTTATTATAATAAAATGTAGATGCTTTACATTGTGTGTACTGTATTATGTGTTTAAAATTAGACTACACCATAGAAGCCCCTTCTCTGTTTTTTACCCTTTACACTCAGCACTCCAAATGAAAGCTCTTGTTTGGGCTCTCAAGTCACCAAATGTTTCTTATCTGAGTTAAGATGCTTGCAGGTTACTTGAATGTTCTCTTATGAACTATACGAAAATACAAACACCACAGACATACGTAATTCAAAACCATCAGCCTGTTTAACAAGTGAATGCAACTGAAAATTAAAATAAGCAATTACGGTAAGTTTGTGCCCGGCATGAAAGACATGACCTGTGTTACACGGGAAGAGCCTGCTGTGCTTGACTCTCTGCAAATGAGTCACAACACAAGAAAGAACAAAACATGTATCTTATGCGTCATGGATTGACCTCTAAGTTTGATACCTTAGATGTTTACAGAGAAAATCGGCCATCTTTTCTGAGATAAACAGAAAGGAAGTAGAATCCCTGTATGTTTCAATGTCACAAAATTAAACCAAAAGAATAAAGTATTTACAGGATTTTTCATTATATCATTTTCTTATTTTACTTTCATCCACCTTGTTATATCACTTCTAAAACCTTCTAAAAAAGCAACTTAACCCATATTTCAGATTTGTTAGGACTGAGGCAGTGCTGTTGCTCCAGTGGCTATGACATATAAGAATAAGACATCCACCATTTAAAGCTGGAGTATCTGGAATCAGAGTTGCATGTTTTCAAAAGATATATCTTTAGTTCAGTCTTTGACTGTGTGTAAAAGTGTGTTAAGAGTGTACGAATGTGTGTATGTGCATATTGGTCCTGCCAGTGTTTGTGTCTCTATAGTTCAAAGTCAAAAGTCAAGAAAATATCAACGACCCCTAAGTCCTTGAAACGCCAGAGGGGCAGCTAAGCGTGAGAGAGACTGCAGCGATCAATACACAAATACACATGAAGGACCGGTTCTGTATTGATTGCCGCTGTGTGCTTGGTTTTTCAGTGTGTGTGTCAACTTTTATTTTGCTTTGGGGAGGAAGCGTCTGTGTAACCTACTTGGACGTGGTCGCACATTTGAAGAAAACAAAACAGAAAACGTGGGACGTTCAAAGACCCACAGAGGAAATGTGTGGTTTTAGCAACTCTTTCTAGCACTGAATGCTTCTGAAACAGCAGTATGGTGTGAATTTACTAACAATATATGACAGAATAAGACAAATTCATTATGGCTATAATTGAGTACAGTAAAGCTAATTAAAAAGTGTGTAGAAAATGGGCCATCTTCTTTTTGAGAGCTTGTCGCTAGCTAATTATAAAAGGATGACTTTGATCTCTAAGGTGAGCCAATTTGAAATTACGCCTGTGCCTGTTTGAGATGGGGGGAGGAGGTGCTGTTGGCGTAGCAGTTTCCACTTTGTTCTTTCACAATGCTCTACAAGCTTACATAAAGAAATGGAACAGTTTCCATCTGTGTTGTCCTGCATGGATAAGCAGATGATTATTTCACATATGATAGCATCATACCAAAGGATTATGAAGTGTTACCCTTTAATATTCCTGTCAGTGTGGTCTGTTTGTATAGTATGATGTAAAGCTGTAGTGAGCCTGTGCTGCCCCAGCTGTTGCAGGGACAGTCTGTGTTGTGCTTGGACTCATAAGGTCAGTGAACATATGGAGCATATGGCCGAAATACAAGACATCTGGACCCCTACCATATTGACCAATGTCACAGAAGACCACTGAAAGGCTTGAGCCTCTGAGGATGTTTGAAAGTACATTGACTCGATCATGCATGTAAGGGCAGTGTTGGCTTTTCTTAAGTACTTTTATTTCACTACATTGTAGTTTAACAAGGAAATATTGTATTTTACTGCATTAATGTAAAAGCTATAGTTACTAGTTAGTTTGCAGATTATGATTTTAGACACATCTCACATGATCAGTTTATGACAAGCTACATGTATTTTTGATGTATTGTTAAAACTACTCAACAATATATACTTTAAATTCTGTAATAAAAGCTGATATTCAAATAATGGCTAAAATAATCTAACACAGCACAAACAAACAAAGCCCAGTTGGTAATAAAGTGCAGTTAAAAACATTGAGGAGAGGTGGAATTAGCTAACATGGTAGATTTAAAATAATGTAGCCCATATTTTCCACATTTCTATATTTGTGATTCCTATATTTATCTGGTGGCAGCTTAACAGTGTTGGAAAAAAGTGACAGTAAATAATTTGTGATTGAAATGGAAATAACAGTAGTGCTGTCAGAGAAACTCATAGCAGAAGAGTGGTGAGTGTGACATGACTCTGTTGTTTTACTGATGGTATAAGTGTTGAGGAAAAGTACATTATGTCATGTTATGTATGAATTTAACAAGACAACAGGTAAACACAAAGTGGCGTTTTCGGCAAATTAAAACAAGGGTATGATAAATTATGACTATAAAACACACACCTGGTTGTCTCTGCACTATATAATTAAACATTTACACAAGTAAAATTAAGTGCATCTCTAACAGCTGAAACATGAAAGTTCTTCCTAAACATCACTGCATCAGTAATAATAATCCAATAATTTAATACATAGAACAATATAACACAGTAAAATAGGCCCTTCTACATATATATATTGCTCTTAATTCTTCTGTACATTTCTTTATTCAACCTTTTGAATTAACATTTACCTTTGTATTTTTAAAATGTGGTATTGTCCCTTTCCTAAAGTAAAGCATATAAATACTCAATATAACCCACTTCTTTTCCCTTCATAAAGAATAAACATCAACAACAACACTGAACGTCCCCTGACTCAGAATGTCTCTAGTGCAGTTTGTATTTTAAATAGCATGATGCAGCTAAGCGGAAA